TTTTCCATTAGCTTAAGGTATAACATACACAACTATAAATGTGTGAAAATCACAAAAAGCACCAACTTCCATTTATCACGACAGTCATATTGTCTATCCTTGGTGCACGCATGAATACCCATCAATTGTTTGTCTTGTTTTTAAGTCTTCAGGTCAGAAGCTACCACGACCTTCAACAACAATGAACAACTAAGGATTGTGATGGTGGGGAAGACTGGAGTTGGAAAGAGCGCCACAGGAAATAGCATTTTGGGAAAAACAAGCTTCAAATCAGACTGCTCCCCTAAATCTCTGACTTCACAGTGTGAAAAGGTCTTTGGTGACGTTGGTGGACAAAGGGTCGCCGTCATCGATACTCCAGGTCTGTTTGACACCAGGAATGTTCAGAAGGAAACTATTGAAGTTATTGCTCAGTGCATTTCTTATGCTTGTCCTGGACCCCATATCATCCTGTTCATAATCAGCCTGGACAGATACACAGAGGAAGAACAGCAGTCGGTGCAGAAGATCCAGAAAATCTTTGGCGAGGACGCAGACAAATACAGTATGGTTCTCTTTACCCACGGTGACAAGCTCAAAGGCAGATCTATTGAGGAGTTCTTGAAGGAGAGCGAACACCTGCAGGAACTCGTGGCCAAATGTAACGGCCATTACCATGTCTTCAATAATGAGGTGAAGAATCGCTCGCAGGTGACCGGGCTGCTCGAGAAGATTCGAAGCATAAATGTGCTGAATGGAGGAAGCTGCTACACCAATGAGATGTTCAAGAAGGCAGAGAGCGCAATTGAAGAGAAGAAGCAACAAATCCTGAGGGAGAAAGAAGAGCAAATGCAGAAGGAGCGGGAGGAGCTGAGAAAGGAAATAGAGCCAAAGTATGAAGAAGAGCTGAGGAAAGTGAAAGAGAAAATGAAAGAACTGGAGAAGAAACAGATGGAGATGGCCAGACGAGAAGCGGAGAACAGCAGTTCAGTAATGGATTTGATAACTGTTTTTATCATGAGTTGTTTGTCTCATTTAAAAGACAGTTTAATGAGCTACGTGGGCACATATGGGCTACACAGAGATACAACAGCAAACAATTGACCAATAATATGTCCCAGCAGCTCTCATATAACCCACACACAAATGGTCCCAGCAGTGGCCATTTAAGTCTCATGTGTGACGAATCATTCAGATTAAGAAAAAGAATACTCACAAGGTAGAATTAGAAATATAACCAAATTCCTCCACATGTCCTTTGATTTGATTTTTAAGTTAGTATAGAACAGAGTGGTATTCATGGGTGTTAACTATTGTTTAATGACTTATTGTGTTAACAATATTGACTTTAACTGGTGATATTAATCTCACAAGATGATAAATCATTGTTTGGGAGTGTCAGAAATTATCGAGAAGATGTTGATGAATGTGCTATGAAATAAAACTCATAATAAATAAATATTCTGTGTGTATATATTTTGTTTTACAATTGATTTCAGGTGCAGGTACGTTTCTAACTTTATTCATTGAGGGTAGTTTCGATGACATTCGATCACATTCACAAGCAAAACAACCTTCTGTGACACGAATTTCAAAATTCTGTTTAAGATCAAGTTTTGCCTCTTTGGCCTCAAATAGTGGAATTTTCAACTGTTAACAAGCTATAGACATCTGCAACATGACAAGAAGCTCTAGACAGTTTTTTTGTAAAGGTGTCACAAGCAACATTGGTCTTAAGTAGATGTACATGCTTATATGTGTTTTTATGGAGACTCTTAATGAGAAGAATAACTTTAGCTGTAGGATAAATGCTGTAGAGGAAAAAGTACAATATTACCTTCTGAAATGTGATGTAGTAGAAGTCTAGAGTAGAAGGTATAGTACCTATGAAATGTAGTCAAGTGCTGTACTCGATTAAATGTACTCAACTACTTTCCACCACTGGAGCTGTTGTGTAGAGAACTGTCAGTGTTAAGAACTAATGATCCCTGATGAATCTCAGGCTAAAGACAGAAGCTGGAGGTGTTTTCCAGTAAATGTATACCAGCTGGAGCTGTCAGTGGCACGCTCGACTCCCCTCTCCCTCACCTGGCGCTGATGCTGCAGGGAGCGATAGTGTCTCTCTCCTCTGATGCTAACACTGCTGGGGTGTCTCCCTCATCTGTAATGTAATTCATCCTAGTCGACCTCACTGCTGCTGTCTAAGTCATCCTGACTGGGTGTGTGCATTTCAGAAAAAAATGCTGGTTAACGTATATTTTTTATTGTAACCTACATTTTTATTTATGAAATATTCTGTATAACATCATCTGTACCCCCTGTCAGCCCTTTATATTACAGTTTCTTTAGGTGGAGCTGGAGTCATGGAGGATATCACTGCTCAGGATGATTTTTCTTTACCTAAACTGACATTTCTCCACATGAAAATATAAACTTCTCTGTGCTCTGAATGTTTGTTGAATATTTGTGTTGATGTATTTGTATGTTGTTGTTTCTCTTCCACTGCATGGGCCTAAACAGAGAAATCACCAGACCTTCCTTTATCACAGAGAGAGAGAAATCTTTAATTACGTTCACATTCATATGTTTGTCAAAACAAATGTTGTTGTTGTTCAAATCCATGTTCTTATCAGTGGCTCCATGATTTATCATTTCCTTCCAAAGAGCTGACATAATGGTTTACCGAGTGACTGCAAATTTGATTGACTTCATTTCCTCCTAATTCGTTAGTAAAGTCTTCAGCTAAGTCAAAGTCATTTTTGTGATATTTTGTGCTGATAGAAACATTGACCAGGAGTCTTTTTCTGAGCTTTGATGCATGTTTGCAAAACTAAGTGATTTTTCTCTCAAAGAATATAAAAAAGTGATAAGTGTTTTAGAAATTCTATCAAAGCTCAAGAGATAAGATAAAAGAGATAATGTGAAACGGATCTCTGTGAATAAAGTTTGATTACTGAAACTTCTTCTGTGGAAACAAATTTGATTGTAAGTGTTGTGTCTCCAGCAACATGAAAACTATATTTATTGACAGAGGTTGGATGTAACTAAGTACATTTACTNTAAAGTGATGTTCTCTCAAAGAAAATAAAAAAGTGATCAGTGTTTTAGAAACCTTTATAACTTCTACTCCACTACATTATGAGTGGAAATACTTTACTATTTACTGCACTACAATGACCTGACAGCTGTACTCCTTTTTCACATTAAGACAACCCAGCCGCCCTCCTGGTTCTTCCTGTTCTAAAACACAGCCAGCTCCACATGTACTTCCTTGTTCCCTCCCCTTCAGATCTACAGTTNTCTCACTTACTACTTACTTACAATCGTGAGGTACTTCTATTTTATGCACCTTTGTACTTCTACTCCACTACATTATGAGTGGAAATACTTTACTATTTACTGCACTACAATGACCTGACAGCCGTACTCCTTTTTCACATTAAGACAACCCAGCCGCCCTCCTGGTTCTTCCTGTTCTAAAACACAGCCAGCTCCACATGTACTTCCTTGTTCCCTCCCCTTCAGATCTACAGTTTGATGATGGGTGGAACCAACAAGTGTTGAAGTGCAAAAGCTGACAGGCCCCGTTCACTGCAGAGACACATGTTGTTCAGATCAGAGCTCAAACTAGTTTCGGTTCTCAGGAAGTGAAACTCAGACAGTCGTTGACACTGAGAGGTAAAATGGCGCAGAAAGGAGTTCAGCTGGACCGGGAGAGCTTCTCTTGTTCGATCTGTCTGGATCTACTGAAGGATCCGGTGACNAAAGATGGGTGGAACCAACAAGTGCAAGAGCTGATAAGCCCCGTTCACTGCAGAGACACATGTTGTTCAGATCAGAGCTCAAACTAGTTTCAGTTCTGAGAAATTGAAACTCAGACAGTCGTTGACACTGAGAGGTGACATGGCGCAGAAAGGAGTTCAGCTGGCCCGGGAGACCTTCTCTTGTTCCATCTGTCTGGATCTACTGAAGGATCCAGTCACTATTCCCTGTGGACACAGCTACTGCATCAGCTGTATTAAAAGCTTCTGGGATAAAGAGGATCAGAAGAAAATCTACAGCTGTCCTCAGTGTAGGCAGACCTTCACACCAAGACCTGTAATGGTGAAAAGCACCATGTTAGCAGATTTAATGGAGGAGCTGAAGAAGACTGGACTCCAAGCTGCTCCTGCTGATCACTGCTATGCTGGACCTGAAGATGTGGCCTGTGATTTCTGCACTGGGAGAAAACTGAAAGCCTTCAAGTCTTGTCTGGTTTGTCTGGTCTCTTACTGTGAGAAACACCTGCAGCCTCATCATGATGTAGCTCCANTCACCTACATTTAAAAAACACAAGCTGGTGGAGCCCTCCAACAAGCTCCAGGAG